ATATATATATATATATATATCATACATATATTCACACATATTTATGTGTTTGTGTGTGTGTGTGCATGGGTGAGTGTGCTCCTGTGTAGGTATACGTATGTGGGTGCATGCATACCATGGCATGTGGAAGTCAGAGGACAACCTGAGATGGATTCTTGAAGAATTGTTTTTCTTTTGAGATAGGTTTTCATGTAGCCCTGGCTGGCACTGAACTCACTGTGTAGCTGAAGTTGACCTTAAATGCCTGCTAACAAGACAAATTATTTACCCAAAACTTTCTAGGTCACTCAAGCACTTTCCCTCAGGATGAGGTCTCACCTCGAGGATGTTACGGTTAGTGGCATCTTCACAGTCTATAGAGTCATTGCAGACACTTTTCCAGCCTGGTGCAAAAGGGTTCACTGGAGAGGAAAACATGACAGGTACACACCAGCTTCTAAAAAGTGTCAACACTTCAGTAAAGCCCCACATGCTTTGGTTGGTAGGCAGGCATATGTATGTTTAACCCAGCTATGTAAAGTTAGGCATACATTTGAATAACCCACGCACTGTGACTTTACTCCATCTGGGGGCTAATGGAAGTAACTACAAGACTTGAAAATGAAAACAGGCTGGGTTTGGTTACTCCCTCTTAAGTCCTTAAAAATAAAAAATAAAAAATAAATTCCTAAAACTGCATAGTTAAAGGTTATGCTAATAAAATGATATTGACTTCAAATGAGAAATTTTAGTATTTTAAGGTAAACAACTAGTCTGCTGACATTTAAACCACAACCAGTCAACAGTATATATTAATGCTTAGCAAACACTTCAAACCTGTAATTTATGAGACCTCTCATATTTACATGGCAATTAATTTTATCATCTATCATGGTTTTCTACTAAAGTCATAAAATTAATGTTGTAAAATTGTTTCACCTTGAAAGGCTATGAATAGCTCATTCACGAAGTCACTCTCTGGAATTTTAACAGAATGGCACTTATATGATGGTTCTATGACATGGCACAACAAATCAGAGATTAAATTATCCAAGATTTTCTTCAGCACTCTAAAGAGCAGGTCATTATATCTTCCTACACAAGACTTTGTGGTAAAGCGCACAGCCATGTGGTAAGAATAATCAGGTTCCCGATAGGCTTTGGGAAAAGGTGAGAATAAAAACAATCATGCCTTGCATTGATTTCTGCTATTCAAAAAGTTAAAAAACATGCAATGTTAAATATCATTAATCTTGCAAATCAGTTTAGAAATTTTACTGGTCTACTACAACACTTCATAAGTCTGTTTACAAAATACATTTAACTAATTTTAAAGGAAAAAGTCATTGTCATTTGGTGTCTGTCTACTTAGGAGAAACGGCTTCTGTGGGATCACAACACAGGTTAAGTTAATAGTATCAAGAAAACATTGGGGAGCCCATGGACCCCAGACTGATGTCTGGGAGGCCAGCACAGGACTGGTCCAGACCCCTCAGCGTGGATGTCAATGAGGAGGCCCCGGCACTTTATCCCCTGGTAGTGGATCAGTATTTATCCCTGGTATAAGAAGGGACTTTGGTGGCCCATCCCACATGGAGGAATGCTTTCTCAGCCTGGACACATGGGGGAG